CCTACACGTGTAGCACCATTAACAGCCAGCTTCACCATAGCAGGACTCACCAGCTTTGCAGCAACCTGCACCACACTTGTTTTCAACCTGCAAAGTGTCATGGACTTTGAAATGGCAAACATTACACAGAAGGTTAGGCAGATGGAACAGCATCAACAATAGAATTAAATTAGTGCTAAATTTACTCCTGACTTATCTCACTTGATTATATTAGTTTACATTTGTCTATATACACACAATACCAAAAGTACACCTATTTTGTATTCAAACTTTGCCCACATAATGCTAGTTGCTGTTGAGGCAATCAAAAGATTCAACCAAAAACCCAAAGATCTTATGAAGTTCAGGGATAGGTCTGAAAATCATTCTGAAACCCTTACTCACCATACCCTCAGTGAACACTTACATCAAATGGCAGCAGAAGGGACTTTAAAGCACCCTCAAACCTTTTGCCACCAACAAGCCCTACTGAGAGTAACGGGAACAACAGATACCAGGTATCTTTGAGGGGAAAAAAAAAAGCCAAGTCTACAGCTAAGATGTGTGTCTGTGGGCACACGTGTGTGTTGCGTGTGCATGTATGTACATGGGCAGGGTGTGAGGGGAAAGCTTAGTATGATTTCAGTGGTTATCCAAGTACAGAGGTTTCACAGTCTCACTCACACTAGTGCTTATCATTTCAGCCTTTTGAAAGCTTGTTACAGAAACATAATCAAACCACAGAATGTTTTCTTGACAAAAATGAACTATCATTCACTCTCTATTTGTTCAGAATTCAAAGAAGTATTGCTTTTCACAGTTCACTGGCAAGTCAGAGCACTGCACACAAAATTAAATACGGCACTAAAGATGTCTATGGAGAGAACAAAAGTTATCACAGAAGCACAGAGGTAGAAGGCTTCGAAGAACTAAACCTGAGTTACACAATCATTAGTCTCTACATACCCAGCACGATTAACAACCCCAACAGCCTCTCAGCATCTGTCAGCTATTGGCACCCAGGAATCTTTTCAGCTGCACTGCAGCAGGTACCCACTGCCACTGAAATCTGCTCCTTGTCCCGCAGAGCTCCAACCTGGCCTTCCACTGAAGTAACCTGTCCGTGCTACTACATACGTGAGGTGCAGGGGCAACTGGTGGCTGCAGTCTTACATCTTAACTAGCTCCTTGTCATATTTAACAATACAAGTTCTCCAAGATTTACTGTGAAGAAACAGAGTGAATGATAAAGCTTCAGAAGAAAAACAATGTCTGTGTACACAAATACACTGAGGACATCTGCAGTTTCCATCACCAAAGCGCACTGTGAGGGGAAAAAAATCCCCAGCTATTCAGTGGCAAAAGCTGCCCCATTTTGGCACCTGATTTCTGTAGCATAGACAGCACTTCAGACCAAAAAAAAACCAATCCAAAAAACCCCAACACAAAACACACACCCTCTCCCAAAACTGCCTTTAACTTGTTTTATTGAAAACCATTTGCTCTATGTAAGGGTGATAATGTTAAATTTTACTTTGTGATATGAAAGTGTAAAATAAAAACTAAATGCTGCTTCCTCGTCACGTATTTCAGCAAGGACTGCACAGGACCTTGGACATGTCTGCTGGTAAGCTATTCTTCACAGACATCATTTTGTAAAGTAAATGTAAGCACACTGAACAGTAAATGACAATGTAGTTTATGCTCTGGGACCGACCTGTATATCCTGTATAAAATTTTAAAGACTTCTAAAGTCAAACTGACTAAATAGATCAGACAACTTGTAAGGACTGAATATTTCACATTGCTCCTTCCAAAGGGCATCCCGCACTGCAGGCAGCAGGAACTCTTGCTTTTGCCCATCACAGCACTGCCACTGATGTTCCCACACCGTATCAGCCGCAAGAGACACTTCAGTCCTGTACTCTCTGCAGTAGTTACTCAGCAAGTATCTGAGAAACAGCACGAGCATAAAATCTTAAGTACTCCACAGAGTTAGAAACAGGGATTCTCAGCAAAAACACTTCGAAGTATATCATGGAAAATACTCTGCAGCAAGTAACTGGTGTCTACCTTCATACACATATTGCATAAATTATACTCTATTTGTCATTTTTGTTCCCCCCACCTTCTTTCATTGCGAGTTGATAGCAGTAAACATTTTCTGAAGTGCCACAAGGAAGGATAAAGTTCAGTCTCTAGTCTGTCGATTTCTTGGTGTCTTCATGCCACCTCCTCTTCTCATTGAATATTTTCAAGATTCAACCTTCAGTTCTCCGTGTGTCTGGAACAACAGTAATGTGGACGCACACCAAACCCAAATATAGTGAGCCTACTTGGTTGCTTGTTTTTCTGTGTGTGGGTGTGTGTTCTTGGGTTGTTTTAAGTAAGCATCAGAAGCAGAACTGAGCAGATGCATTCAAGAGACAGACTGCTGCCTGTTCACCTCCAAAGCAGGCTACTGGATTACAGGCAGAGTAATGGTGACCTATCGTGGCCTGAGTCTTCATCTGCTTCTGGAATCCGAGGCAGGAGAGCAGACCGTGTCAATCCCCAGAATTTCTGAGGTGACATATCCTTTTTGGTAGCTGTGAACTTCCAGCCCATATGGTTCCCACAGATCCTGCACTGGGCTATAGTCCAGGCATACCTACCAAAAACAAACAAAAGGTTGATGCTAGCATGTAAGGAAAAGACATTTTACAAATACTGGAATACAGCTCACTCATCAGTTAAGAAGGTAATGCTAGTCTCAAGCTGGGTATTCAAAGAAACTTTGGGAATCAAGGAAGAAGAGAGATGAGAAAACACATAAGGATGAGAAAAATTAACTCTAGCTATTATAAGCCATAGGTTTTCTTCAGGGAGCCTTAAAGAGTGCATGTCTTGTGACAGGTATGCCATACACCCTCCAAGTTATTACTCGGTGCAATGACTTGGTGAAAATATATGTGAAGAATATTTTTTGTGAAACTGAAGTTCAAATAGAGTTGGGTATTTCAAGTATTTTTAAGAGTTAAATATTCCAACTTTTGAATGAGCACCTGAAGAATGCTCATCCAGCCACAGGTTAAATTTCAGGTATAAGAGAGGGGTGACATTTTGATGCAAGACCCGTCATTATTAGGCCATCTTTTACATCTTGACAGTTAATTCTGCTCCTGTTTCAGCCAGCCAGACTGATTAAATAAATATAAAAGGTAATCACATTAATACAGCTGTCAGTAAATTAAACTCATGTAACATTTATTCAGTTTCTAGATCTAAAAAAAAGTATTTCAGTAGAATAATTGCATTTATATATTCAGTTTTTAATTTGTATTTTATTTATCCTATGATCAAAGAAAGCTGCGTGGAAACAATACTGATTTTGGTTGTAGCTTACACAAAACTATACACAAAGAAACTCCCAAATAATCGGTTATCTTAAGACTTCCCTATTTGTAAAAGATTAAAGAGAACTTCTGAAAATGTTCTATCTGAATTTTCCAGTTTATTCTGTATTTTGAAGCCTAAATTTACTTTTCTATTTTTCATATGAACGAAATGATGTTTCAAAATGTATGTATTTCCTATTCCACCATCACAGGAATACATCTACAACCAAATTTCTGTCCTTTACTTCTAAAATGTCTTTTAACTGTTATTACCCAGGAAACCAGCTGTGCTCTGTCGATGGTCGTCCGTTGAGATTCAAGTTGCAGGCTTTATATACAGTAAGGGTTTCATGGATGTACCCATGAGGATTCACATATGCTGCCATGGGTCCACATAAGGATAAACTACAACAGACAATTAGTAATTTCGTCAGAGTTCAAGGAAGAAACAAACCCCAGAAGCCGTCAAATGGAAACAGAGGAAAAACTGCCAACCATGCTCAAAACTATTTTCCACAGCAAAAGAACCACTTTAGGCTGTAGGAAGAGAAGCATCTTTAATTATATTATTAAAAATTGAAAGAAAATAGATAGTCATGTAAAATATAATTGGTCAAGTTTTCTTAAAATTGCACGAATTTCAGTGTCCAGTCTTACAAATCCAACACATCCCTCACCGACAAGAAATTATTCCTGCTACCTTCTTCTTAAGTCCTACTTTTTAAGTCCCTACTTCAGAAAAGATAATTCAAAGGGTATGATCATGAGTAAGGATTAAAACATTCTTGTGCTCAGATGAACCTCATCCAGCTGTTTGTTAAAGGGGACAAGTTACTTGGAAGATAGCTGACAGGATGCTATGGAAACTACCTCATTTAAAGCAGTTATTAATCTTTCCCTCAAAAACCTACAGCTCAGTATAAAAAAGTGCATGATAGACTCAAATTATTTTACTTGCTGCTTTTGAATTGCAGCTTCCAATAAAACCAAGCAGCAATCTGTGTTGCTACTTTTAAATCTAACTTTGAAAGTAAGCAAAAACGTACACTTGTTCACACTAGTTTCTCACCATTCTTCTGTTAAAGTACACGTAGCAGGAATCGCGGTTTCTGGAATCCATTATTTGATTATAAGATAAGAAATGGCTTTTAATTACCACATCAGCTTCTTATCACACTGATAAAGGAGAACTGTGGGGAGTCCTGCTTTGTAAATCAAGACTTTTTTTAATGTTCATTATCACAGATGATAGACAGATGTTAGTTACTCAAGATTAGAACAGTGTCAAGACTGCCAGAAGCAGCAATTATTTGGAAATTGTATATAGTCTTATCATCACTGAACATGAAAGATATTGTATAGGTCAAATATACAATGGATACATACTTCCTAGTGGAGTTACTAGGATTAAATCCTGTATCCTTAAAATAAAGAATGGTATCACAATGTTTAATGACATAAATAGGCAATTTCCTTAGATGACAACATCCTGGAAGCCTATCTATCTATACCACCCAATTAGTGCATTTTAATCTGCTGTTGAGGCCTGTTGACACACAGATCTCAGGATGAAGTGCTGAGAAATAAAATTTGGGATCTCATGAACTTTACTCAGAAATAATAGGCCAAAAAAACCCTGTGTAAAAAATTTATATTTGGAAACTCACCACAAAGTGCATAATTCTTCAGTGGCAAGGAGCTGGAGTAAGTGGCATAACACGGCCTCCCTTCCACACTAACTTCTGTTACAATATACATGGTGGTGTTCAGATTTACAAACTTTTTATTTAAGAACACCAAAGTAACCTGTTTTGTTTTATAATTATACTTTTTAAGAAAAGAAACAAGTTTTATAGAGAAAATTCCCTATAAATATTTACTAAAATTTTATTAGAGCTGTGGAGAACAGAGTAGTTGTAAGACACAACCCAGTTCAATCTGTTTTGCTGTGCTAACATTTCTGATCAAGAACCTCCTGAAGATAAAGAGCAATGCACTCACCTGAATATTTCATTCTTGGTAGTTATTTCTGTATCTTGGCATTGCTTACAGCAGAGAGATGTACACTTTAAAAGAAAAACAAAGAGGGTAATTTCATTCATTTGCTTATCAGCACAGCAGCAAATAATGAAAACGTCTTTCCCCTTCCCTCAGAACAGACTTGGTATCAACTCTTTTCTTTATCTGGACAGCAGTCACTTATGTTTACTCTTTCTATCAAAGGATATTTTTTTTCATATGCATTTTACTTATTTATGGTAAACGCTTATCTAAAAGACAAAATAATTTCTATATACTCCCTCTGTCTCTCAAAACATTCACACAAAGAAGAGGATCTGACTACACAAAGGTTATAAATGAGTCAGCCTCCTAAAGGTCTCTAAAAGCTAATTCAGACAAAAAACCTTTGCTCTTCTAAAATACCACGCAGAAAAGGTAGATGAGTACAAATGCAATCATTAAGTCTTTCTAAAATTTTAGAGTACTGTAGATCAATGATTTTAATTTCCTCATGAAAAATATGAGATGTATTGATCTTTCTCTTAAAGATTATAACTGATTCATCTATCTTCCACGATTTCTAGAAAGTAGAACAAAACAATTCATCACTGACATTGCCCAGAAAATAAGCATTTAAATCAGCTCAGTAGAACATTACAATTAATTTTCAGGAGGTACATTACTCCAACCTCTTTTTACTGGTAATGCATATGAAATTACCCCAAAAACGAACCACTGTATTTTGGAACCAGGATCTTCACTTGGGTAAGTCCCTGTGTGAGCGTACATTCTTCTGAAGCCACAAATCACTGCTTGTGCTTCTGAGTCTCCCCAACTCCTACACTCTTCATGTGATACTACACAGGCTTACATCAGTCTTTTCTCTCTCCTTTCCTCTATTCAGATGCTCTGGGCTTGTTGCTGCATTTTAACTTCCTGCAGCTGCTTTTTTGCAGGTTCTGCCCCACACTTTCAACACACTGTCTACTCATCTTGTGGACTGGTAGGGAAGATTGCTATACTATATAGTATGTATCATGACCTTTAACACCTATTACTACTCACTCTTTTTAATCACCATTACTCACAGATTATAATCTAACGCTCATATACGCCTCAGTATCCAATTAGTCAGCTACTTCATCTCTGTTTCCAATACTATCTAATTACTACAACTAGCACTGTCAAGCAGAACTCACAGAAGTATTATACCTGTGATGTACATTCTTTCAAAACTAAGCACAGATACAGTTAACTGTCTTTAATAACAGGAAAAGCTCTTAAAGGTATAATACAATTCACTGATATAAGAGACAAAAGGAAATGGATTAGGTCTCACCGTCAGTTATATCACTGTAAATTACACTCTGGACAATGAAACATGTTAAGTCCAGCCTTCTCAAGTAAACCAAAATATACACTATGTTGTCAGAGCACTCATTCTCATTAAAGAACCCTGGCTTAAAACAAGTGGATTTGGCCAAAGTAAGTGTTGCTAGAAATAGTAAAAAAAAGCGCCCAGAATGCACTTACCATTCTGATGCTAATATAGAACAGTCAAACATGTTTACAGGGTAAAATGTCACATGTTGATGAAGAAAACACCTTTTGGTGTAGGCTAAAAATTAACTTTACCTTATGAAGGTAACCTAAGTCCTCTTGTCTCTCTGGTATTTGTAGAAAATATACAGTGTACTGAACATGAACAGCTCTTAGCAGTACCTGAATACCACAATATTTTCAGTTTCTGACTCAAGAAATATAGATGAAGTTTAATCTGATTACAGAGCCTCATGCAAAAACCTACACTAAAAAACTGGTTTTTGAGACAGCACATTTATCCCCAGCAAGCTTACAACCAGCAAGGTCAGAGTCAATCCGGATGTATATAGCTATTCTTTGCAAGGTGAATGTATTAACAAAATACTAATCTGTCTCTCCTTTCAAAAACTGAATAGTAAATATTCCGCCTACCACTATTAAATATATAAACAAGTTTACAGTTAAAACTTGTTTTTACACCAGTGGCTCTTTTCAGCGTTTTCTCTTTGGAAAGAGAACAACCATCTGAACTGCTGTGGGAGACTGTTGAAAATGCTCTTCCCATAACAGTTGTATTCAACATGAGGCTGACTGATACTCAGCTGCATTATCAGCTATAATACATAATATTATAGTAGGTATTAAGAAGGGAAGACAAGTTTTTGAATACCTTAAAAAAGTATTGCCTAACAAGTTGATAAATGTGTTTTGCAAAAAATCCATTCAGTCCAATACTTAGATTTACATACACTCAGTAGCTCAATACTTCCAAGATTTATCTTTTGTTACAAAATCTGCAAGTTTTCACAGCACAATGCTACTTGATTGCATTGTATTATACTGTTGTGATGTTCATAAGGTTATGAACAATACAGGGTTATGATGTTCATAAGACGGTTATGAGCAACGCTGGACTCGTAGCACCATCTCTTGGCTAAAAAGTGCTGTGAGGTGTTGAAATAGGGTTTCTAACAAAAGTGATATGATTATATGTTTCTTGCTTGCTGCCAAACATGAAGTCTAGTATTGAGAGAGAGCATTTTCTTTCTGAAGCAAACTTTTAAAGGAAAAGGAAGAAATAAAAGAACACCCAAATTCACTACCTAGAACTATTATTTAGAAATTCCATACATTTTTGTTACACATGTTATACATTTTTATATTCCTGGTTTTGTGTGAGAACAATTTAATGACAAGTAAAGAAAAAATACTCACTTTGTTCATAATACCTAATTCACACCGGAGTCGCTGAACAGCACTGCCTATTTTAAGCAACTGTATACGTAATGCATCATCAATTGGCAGGCAAGCAGCAACTCTGTAAGAAAAATCTAGAAATGAGAAAATAGCAGGCCTGTTTTAGAATTTGAGAGAGAAATAAACCAATAAACTCTACTACTTCTACTTGGTTACAGACAGAGTGCTAAAACTTAGGTTTATCTAACAGACTTTTAGAGGTCATCTTGGTACATCCTTTTGCCCTAAGAGTAGATCACGTACACATAAAACCTCTTCTATGACACTTGTCTAATCCAGATCACCAGTTATGGAGATTGAACAATGCTGGTTAGGTAATATATACTAAAGTCAGAACAGACCCCTGGAGAACACTGTCTGATACAGACTTCCACTTTGACAGTGAATTACTGAGTTTTCCAGCCACCACTGGTTTTCTTTATGCTTGCACTTCCTGCATTTGGTTCTTATCTGACTTTATTTGAAGGTTGCCATTCATTAGGCATTTGAGAGCCTACACAGGAGAGAATGAGTCTCTGCTTAGACTTCAACTGAAATTTGCATCTTACTAGATCCTAGAGACCTGCAGAGAGAAAAGACCTGTTCACTGGGGCATAGCCCCAGTGCCAGCATGCAGTCTGAACCCAGCTTTTTTGTGATTAGGTTACTGGTGCTATTTTCTCCCATGTTAGGTAAGAGGTAATAAAAAGTAAGAACATCGAGATTCTACATACTAACACTTCAACTTATGTAATAATCATTTTAAAAAGCTAGTATGCTTTTGGCTTTCCTTATGAAACATACCACATTCCTCCCACCATGGAGCACAATAGAGTTCTACTTCTTTTACTGAACATGTTGTGGCACAGTCGGGGGATGTTCATGTCTTTAAAATCTCTATCATCCTTCTGTCAAAGTCAACTACCAAAATTTATTGGAAAGTGGAAGCGAGGGGTGGACTAACAACAGAAGGTAATTATCTAAGCCTTGTTTTCTTAGGAACTGAAAAAACCGCCCAAACCCCAGATTTGAGTTCATCAGCTCAACAACATCATACCTATTGGGTTTGTTGGAAGAGATTCATCTTTAAGATTTTCATCCCATTCATGTAGCTGCCTCTTGACTCTTTCCATCAAGGTTTCCTTTTGTTAGAAGAAAAGCCTAATTTAAATACATAGATATTTCTGTTTTCTTAGGAAAAAAAAAAAAGGAAGCAAAATGTAGAGTAAGCTATTTTCCCTAGGTGGACATTAGCTTTTAAGACTTACAATAATTACACACTCATTTTGCATCTACATGTTTTAAACCAAGAGCAAAACAGGATGGGAAACAGGCCAGTATGAACCAATGGCCCATGATAGTTATAACTCTCATTTGAGATAAGGACACAACCGTTCAAATTCTAGAACTGTACAACCAAGATGAGGGCTCGCCCCACCTCTACTTCTGCCTCTCTTACATCAAGTCCTCATGTAGTAATATACATATGTATAGATAAAGAAATGTGTTATTTTTAAAGATTAAATCAACTTCAACAGGAAAGACAGACCTAAGACTATCCAGCACCCTGGTGGTTAGAACACGGAGCATGTAGGACAGAGGATCGACTCTGAGACAACATAGCAGGAACCTGAACCTCTGTTATCCACCCTAGACACATGCTCTAGCACAAGGGAACAACACAGAAGAGTAGCCGTTCCTGCTCCTTTCACAGCAAACTGAAAACTGTACATTTCTTTAAAGTGTAACTTATGAGCCAGCACAATGAATGCTTTTACATTATCCAATGATTACATATTAAACCATACAAAACTAACTGTAGATTATTTGGTAACACATAGGGTAAACTTACAGCATCATATAGAGAGTAGAGCCAGGGAGGCCAAGATGTCAAACTCGCACAGCGGAACTTCCTCTAAAACCAAAACCACAAATATTAATTCTTTAACATTAGCAGATGCTAGGGACAGTTCTTGTTCAAACAATAAACCAGGGAAGAGACACCTCATTATTTACAGATACTACACATTACCACAATCAACACCATTACTTCAATGTGAAGCTTCCAAACCACATTTCAGATACATTGAGAGCTAAGTCTTCTGTGCAAGACAGACAATATATTGATTTTCCCAGAAAACCTGTCTCAGCATTAAAAGTATTTCTAATGTCTAGTAATAAGAAATTATGCCTTTCAAAAGAGCAGCTATTTGAAATTTAGACAGTTCAGAAAATTCAAGTACTATTAGATAGTGCATCTGTTCCTTAGTGTCCGTCAACTGTTGCTTCAGCAACCACTGTGTGGGGGTGATTAAACTATTTGGATCAACTCAGTCAAATGCATAAGTAAATAAAATGAAATAAGGAGATTAATAGGCCATATTGGGTATTTTAAGCTGACATATATAAATGCAAAGGATATATGATGGTAATTTTTAAATGGAAAATTAATCGTTAAAAACGTAAGTAAAAATACCACCACACACGTTAGGAGTTCTGGAGGATGCTTTCCCACAGCAGAACAATTACTGACTAAGAAACCTTGGGCAGTCTTGATGTTTCATCTCATACTGCTCTTCACTCTCACCTGCTCTCCATCTTTAATAGAAGTAACATTTTCAGAAACGCTTACTGAACATCGGTGCTTATACCAGCCTACTGAAAACCTCTTGAACAACTTTATCCACAGACACTGAACAAATCTTGTACAGTATCTATTTAACAACATCCAATGAAGAAAAATTCAGACCTAAATGGAGCATTGGGTCAGAAACAAATGTGGAGGAGGGGGGAAAAATACCCCCTGAAGGTCTCATAACTATTTTTTATTGAATGGTATTCTTTAGAAAGGAAAGTGGCCCGTGCTCCTGTACCATACTTCACTGGGAGCATGACTAAAACATCCACTTGAATTGCGTACAAAAACATCTGTACAAGAGCACAGAGCAGATCTAGAGGAACAAAATACAAGTGGCCACCAATATCACTTCTAAAAAGTCTTCAGCTTGTGCTTATCCTGCAGACAAGAAATCCTAGATTATAACTGCATTCCTTAACTACCAAATTTCCAGCAGTGTAAGGTTATTTGCTTAGTACACCAATTCTCTATAGTGACTTCAAAGACTTAAATGTATAGGTTTAGGTTAATAAAAATCTAAAACAATGTATACTACATAACCACACGGCCTTCCAAAAAAAGGATCTCAACTTCTACTGCAAATACTTCCAATTTTAAACTTCATTTTCCCTTTGAGGACAACCATCCTTATTTTACAAATGAGAAAAATCAGGCAATACTTAAATCCACAGCAAACAAATGCTACTTTGAAGAAAGAATTCCAGAACACTGAAACTCAAATTACTGTTTCAATTAGCAAGTGTATTTTCTGTAACAGCTGACACAGGCTCAGCTCTTCTATGGAGCAGAAACTGTTCTTAAAATTCAACTTCCACTTTCTGACGTTTGATTGTATTAGTAAACAGAGGCACAGCCTGACATACTGTAAACAGTCTGCGCTAGATGGGTCTAACACGGTCAAAACTGGTCCGTGGTGGACCATGCCCAATTCCCTGGAGTGGGGGTGCACGGCGGGGACACTCTTCCTGGTGCAGGCGGACCCCCCTGCGTCAGGACGAACCATGCACAGAAAAATGGAAGTGAGCAGGGCCACTCCTCCAGACACACGCTGACGCCCTGTGTTGGGATGAGTTGGCACTTTTTGGGGTATAAAAAGCCCAGGGGTTCAAGAAAGATCGAGAGAAGAAAGGAGGGGGAGACGAGAGAGGAGAGGAGAGAGGAGAGATGAAACTAGATGATCTTAAGGTCCTTTCCAACCCAAACCATTCTAAGATTCTATGAGATGGACGGGGACCGGGACCTGGACCTTTTATGGCCAACTTTACCTCTGCAGGGACGCCCACAAAGTATGTGCCTGCCGCCCCGTTTGCTCTCAATGCACCTCGGAGCTGGCCTCCTGGTCACTGAACAAATGTGCAGGTGGGTAAGATTCTGGCCCTGATCTGTTCTTTGGTAGCCGTTAGGTCTCTGTCTTTCTGGCTTGGGATACCTCTGGGTTTCACATCTGGTTTAGAGTTTGTAATAAACTTTCTAGTAGTTCTGGGGTGTAGATGTGTGGCTTATGTTCCTTCTCCAACCGGAATCCTTTGATCCCTGGAACATAACTGGCGATGAGGACGGGATTCCGGTCCTGGGAAGGCAGCCACACCTGGGTCTGGCGTTAGTGGGGCTGAGTAGCAGGCGAGGTGCACAGCTACGGGAATGTGCCACTGGAGCTTGTGTTGTAGTGGGGGCTGAACAGTGAAATGCACAGCTTCCGAATTACGCCACTGTTGTAACTGTCTCTCTGCTGGAGGTTGCTTAATCATGCTTAGGAAGAAGAGTCCGGCCGTACCTCCTGCCACTCCACCAGTGGAACCACCAGGGTGGGAACTGGAACCCTGGAGTACTTTGGGGCCTTTTAAGCCTGGCCTGTGATACAGCCTCGAACCAATGGATGGATCACCCTCACCAACCTCACCCACCATGATACTCTCTGTTTGTTAATACTTTCCTCTAAGGAGAATGCATACACTATCCCCTACCCCTTTCCCCCCCGCCCCCACGGTGCCACGGAACCTGGGTAAAAGTTGGAAACCGAATAGTCTTTAAAAAAACCCACAAAAGGCAGATAATGGAAGAATTCAGAAGGTGGGGGTACACTACTCACTGCTGGTAGAAAAACCTTTCATTCTGCTAATGCAAATGTGTTTTAAGTTGCTATGGCAGTGACTTCTTACTGAATAAGACAGATGAAACTCTACATGGACAAAGAGATGCAAGGACTAAGCCTGGCCACGCGTCTCCTAACATAGTCAAGGGCAAGACTGGGTTGGCCTCTGTGTTTGCCACCAAGAAGAACCTTTAGCTCCACTGCTGGCTGCAACCTGGTAGGCGTTGAGCGGTGGGGACATATGCCACGCCAGACCTTGACGTGAGGGATGGCATCTTTTGTTATAAGAGGGCCATCCAGGAGGGAAGGGGAGGTCAGGCAGCCTGCGATTGGCACGAGTCTGGAACACTGAAGATTGAAAGGGACCTCTTGAGATGATCTGGTCCAAATCCTCTGCTCAAGCAGGGTCGCCTGAAAGCAGACTGCACAGGACTGTATCCATCAGGGCTTTGACTTTCTCCACAGATGGAGACAATTGGTTTGACTCAGAGATGAACCACAGATGTACCATGCGGTGGCATGTACCCAATGGATCTAATGATAAGAAACTGGTCCACAGTGGCCCCCCGCCCAAGCAGGGTCACCTAAAGCAGACTGTCCAAGACTGTATCCTGGGGGTTTTGATTTGTTCACAGATGGAAACTACTGACTTGACTTGGAGGTGGACCGCACATGGATCACGCGGTGGTATGTGTTAGGTATGGGTCTGACACTGGAATTGGTCCGTGGTGGCTCACTTCCAACACTGTGCTGCTATATGGATTTGTTGGAATGGTTACTGAGGTGATGATGAAGAAGGAAGGGGAGAAGAAAAAAATATTCACAGATGGAGATGATTAGTCTGATTCGGAGATGGTCCACACAGACCACACGGTGCTATGTGTTAGATGGGTCTAACACTGTAAAAACTGGTCCGTGGTGGACCATCCTCAATTCCCTGGAGTGAGGTGCATGGCGGGGAGCTGGCAGGGCCGCTCCTCCTGGTGCAGGTGGACCCTCTGCCTCAGGACGAACCTGCATGGGAAAATGGAAGTGAGCAGGGCCAATCCTCCAGACACGACACGACCCCCTGTG